ATTTGTTTTAAAATTAATACAATAATTGAAATGTTACAAAAAATAGATGTAGAATTGAAATATTATCAAATTTAATAAGTTTTTATTTTATTTTATATTTTAGTTGAGAATATATTTTTTATGAAATATTTTTTTTGTTATTTTTATCTTATATATATGTGATTGCAATTAAGTCAATTTTAAACATACTACCATAAATTACGTAAAGAACATGAGATATTTTTCTAGTACCGCTTTTTGCTATTCCATCTGTTTCATATTATAGGATGTATTTTTAGACATTTTATTTTGTTTTATAGAATAAATATTTTTGGCGGAAATAATCAAATTTTATGCAAAAATTAAATTTATAAAATTTTGTGATATATTGTGAAGTAAATTTTATGATTTCCCATATTATCTTTAACTTAATACAAAGTTATGTTCTTTATGTAAAATCATAAAAACAAAAAAAAAAACTAGTTTTTAAAATTTTGTGTTCTAAGCGATATATATAGTATTATTTATGTTATTGATGATTATATATATATTAAAGTGGTAAATTCCATAGTAATAAAAGTCACTACTGTTTTGAGAAATTGCAGGAAAAAAAAAAGATAAAGAAGATTACGTTGTTATAATAAGGAAAAGAAATAAAATTTTAACAAAAAAAAGGAAAAGAAGTAAAATCATTTCCAACTAATCTTCTGTACCTATTGAAAGTTTTGATCGGTGACTTTGTAAAACTATGAAATATTGTTTTATAATGTGCTTGGTGAATTATTTACCAGTCACATTCTGCATGTCACGATAGAGTAGATGAGTGACATTTATATGACGTAACACATTCGTGTTATTATATGTTTTACACGAATGAAAAAAAAATCTATTCATTTTATTATCACATATTCACATGAGAGGATTAATTAAAGCTTTACAGAGCAAAGGAAAATATCACTTTTATTGTCACATGCTGAAAGTGAGAAATGACTGAGAAAGAATTTTTTGTTGAATTGTACGTATCTTATTTCTCAAGCCATCAACCAATAATTAATAAGAAATAAAGACTAGTAATATCAAATCTCATATTGGTGGTTCAATGCTGATGACCTCTTAGCCACTCCATTGGCTTCTTCTGGCACAGAGATTCGAAATCGTGAAATATATATATGTAGACTAATGAGTCCAAAAATTGGATTGGTGTACTATCATGTTAAGAATTTTAAGATGCAACCTATTTAGAGTGACACATATTTATTTAGATATAGAATTATGGTTGGTGTGGTGGTCGATGCGTATTTAGATATAGAATTATGGTTGGTGTGATCAATGCAATCAATATAAATATGATTAATTCGATTATTAGGTTTGAATGGTGCAATCAATATGTTAAATGATTCTAGTAACCTAATTAATTCTTACTAACTTTTTAGCTGCTAAAGACCAATTTTTGTTGTTCTTGCATTTCTGATTATACATTCTCAAACATGCACATCCTAATTACATTAATTTTCCGAAAATGTTACAGTACTTTTGATATATTAAAATGTTTAAAAACTAATACTCCCTCTGTTTTCGAATAGTTGTCGTTTTAGAGCTTTTTTTTTGTTTTAAATTAGTTGTCGTTTTAAGGTAATAATGTAATTTATGCCAATAACTACCCAAATTACCCTCATTTTATTGAACACAAATTATTTGTAAATAATTACTTGTCATTTTTATGAGGTTAATATAGTCATTGTATATATTTTTTTAATTTATTCAAATACAGTTGAAACGACAACTTTAAAAAAACAGAGGGAGTATACGGAAACCCACCAAAAAAATGTTAAGAGTGTATGACAGATTGTGTGTTTCACAAATTTGGTATACTGTGTTTGATTGTTTGGATTAATGCTTATAGAATCTTAAGACAAATTTAACATTTATGGCAACAGTTGGTGTGTCATGTCAAGTAAACTTATGTTGGTAGCTGTCAGATTAAAGCAAATAGATTACAGATAAATCTTTACGAAGCAGTTAGGTATCTGACGTTTGGGCAGCTTCCGTGACTTCATTTATGATTTGTTTGTTGAACTCTGATCTATGACATCGAATTACAGTCGATTTTTAGAATAGTCTGATACCTTAAAGAAGAGACTATATTTACTTTGGAGATATACTGGTTTCGCTATAAATCTTTGCGGATGACCAAAAAAAATATTAAAATGATGACGGTAACTTTAAAATTCTTACTATATATAAATTTAGATTATGAACTATGGACTATAAACCCAAATATAAAACTTATATAAGAATATATCATAAATTGTTTTTCTAAAACACAAACAAATTGACAAATAGATATTAGAACACACTACAAGAAAACACGTCATTAGCGACGTTATTCATCGACTGATAAATTAGTCGCTGAATTTGAGGACTGAATTGCGATATTTAGACGACTGAATGTTGCCTAAACAACATTAGTCGCTACACTACAAGAAAATAGAGATATTGCAACATAATTATTGCAACGATCGTTTTTGTTGAAATCTTGCAATACATTTTGCAATATTTTTGCAATAATAAATACACATCGCAATTTTATTACAAATTCATTGCAATATTCCAACAAAAGCTTTTGTTGTAAATTTTCGTTACTAATTTGCAACTTTCTTACGACATGTTAAATTTCAAGCAAATTTTGCAAGAAAAAATTCAACGTTAGTAAGTCGTTATTTTTTCTCAAGAAAATTATATTAAAAATACATAGCACCTATGTAGCTATATATGCAACATTTTTAGTAACATTTTGACAAGTCTGGTATATTTAGTTTGATTGCATAAAATTTTGTGGAACTGTTTGGGTTATTCGATAGAGACATGATCCCATATATTATCATATCATAATTTAGTGAGAGTTTGGATTGTGATTTTTTGTTCTAAGCATAAAAACCAAAATAAAAAGACCCATATTGATGAATACTAGTCAAATTTTACTATAATTTAAAAGTCCTGTAAAATTTTATACTGAATCATAAAAAACCAAACTAAACTGAATCCAAATTGAACTTAAACCAAGCCCGAATTCTAGGCAACTCAACCAAACTACTATCGTGCATGCTTTTTGACATGTTAATTTTTTGTTTTTGACGCTACTATCGTGTACTTAAGTTTAAACAAACAAAGGTAAAACAAAATTCGTCAAACAAACAAATAATTATACGTACACGTAAAATGACAAATTGTGCTATTTAGCATTTCCTCCTTTTCCCGATTTTCTCTTAATTGACTCCAAATCTTTGGATAGTTCTAGATTTTGGGATATGATCCTCTCAACAATATTATATATTCCATTATTTTATTTTCTTTTTGTTGTTTTTTTGTTTAAAATACTAGAACCAACAAATATATCTTATAATCTTATAAATAGTAAATGGTATCTGAACAACTTTCTCAACCACATCGACACTAGATTAAAAGCTTGAGTTTTCTATATGACCAATCCCAACATCACGTTATCAACAAAACATAAAAAGTAAGATTTAAGAAAATTATGCTTTCTTTTGAGACTTGATCCGTGATTTCGTTTCCTTTTCTTCGGTATATATTGCAGACTTTTTAGGTAGAAGAACCGAGTTTATGTTAGGTACAACATCACAATGAGCGATTGTAATTTCATTCCGAAGTTTTCCGAATTCGTCATCGATCTTGATCGCAAGAGGAAGATTCCTCAAAAATGGTCCTAAATTTTCTACTATCTCACACAGCGTTAGCATCTTTATCTAAATTTTTCTTACTTCATCCTAAGTCCATAATTGTGTAGCTCTTCATTCGGACGAAGGTAGCAAAGCCAATACCTACCTTTTAAGTTTTTTTAAAAAAATCTTTTTTATTCATTTTAACTTAATCATTTGATTTAATTTTTTGTTTTGTTTATTTTTATTGTATGATTTATTTTAGTATTAACTAACGTTTTCTTTTTGAAGTTTTTTCAGATGAATCATTAAGGACCGATTTGTTAAAGCAGATCTTAACAAAATTACAAAAATCAAGGAACAACCATGAAGCTAAGGCATTGGAGAAAATATTATTTCTTTTAAATCGACTATTATAAGTTTTTCTTATTTTATGTGGTTTTTATTTATCATTTGATGTTTTTAAATATTTTGATATTTATTTTGTTGGATGTTTATCCTTGTTGATTTCAATCTTGGAATTTTGTTACTATACATTTTAATTATAAAATTTAATACTGATTAGTCATTATAATTTTCTAACAACCCATGGATCGGATTTTAAATATAGCAAAATAATATTTCAACAAAAACTATATATCGACCAAACGATTAAAAATAGAATCTTGATTATATATATTTTTATAACAATGCAAAATATTAGTTACGACAATACTTGCAACAAATTACGCTTTTGTCATTGTAACAAAGATTTTGCTACAAAGGTATTTTGCAAAATAGTTATCACAGTTTTGCAATGGTATTCGCTATATGTTTTATGTAGCAATGATTTACGACAAATTTAGTGTTGCAAATATACGTCGTAATTATACGACAAATTTGCTGTAAAAATATTGTTGCATTTATACAACATCTATAGTGAGAAATCGATTTATTGCAAATTTTACAATGTTTATGCTACAAATACGAATTTGCAACGCTCAATCAGCAACGATATAAGTTTGGTCGCGTTTTTATTGCAAATCTTAATTTGTAACGTTATATTGGCCTATAGCAACAATTTCCAATATTGCAATACCACCGTTTTCTTGTAGTGCTAATCCGTCTGCATTTGGCGACGGATAAGAATAGTCGTTGTATAGTCGTCAAATTAGGCGACTAAGTAGCTTCTGAATGTTTAGTCTCTAAACTGGGCTACTAATTAGCCACTTTATAGCGACTATAATTTCTAATTGGGCCTTTTAATTGGTCTCGGTCCATTAGATTTACTGCGTTGGCCCATAGTATAAATTCTCTATTTCTAACAGAGGAAACCCTAATTCCGCATTTCTCTAACCCTAGATCCCTAATTCTCTCTCTCTCGACGAACCCTAACCCTAACCCTGCAATTTCTTTCCGATTCTCTACAAATCTACTTCTTTTAGGTCTAATCGATGGCTCCTCGTGTTCGCGGTGGAAGAGGAAGAGGAAGAGGGAAGAGGGGACCGAAGTCTCCGGTGAAGCGACCCACTGTCGTCCCTACTCGACCCACATCTTCCGGTGTGTCGAGTCGAAGACCAAGGAGCCTTCCGTCGCAGTATGAGTTCACGCCGGCGAACCCTGAAGATCCAAATCATGGGATTGAGCATCCGCCGAATCGCCAGCCTTCACCGCAACTGAGTCTAAGAGACTATCCACCTCCGCTGCAGCTTTTCCAGTTGGGCGAAGGATCTCAGCATGCAGCTGGTGGATCTCCTCGGGGCTCTGGAACGACTCCGTTTCGAGCATCTGTCTCCTCTGTTCATCGTTTAGCATCTGGATCTCCCTGTGCCTCTCAGTCTCCAGCTCCAGTTCAGCCTCCAGCGCCGGTTCCTTCTCCAGTGGTTAATCAACAACGACCACTAAGAGCCTCTCTGTCTGGTCACAGTTCTCAAGCTCAGAACGTTGAAGAAGAAGAAGCTGCATCGGATGAAGAAGCTGATGATGAAACTGCATCGGAGGATGAAGGTTTGAGGGATTCAACACTCCCAGAAGATGTCCTCGCGACTTTACATGATACGCTTCTCATCCCAGGCCGTGAGCTCTATACTACTCTCATCTCTCCGACTTTAGAGCCTGGGACGACATGGTATGGATTCTAAATGTTTATAGGATTGTTTGTATAGAATTGTGTATAGGATTATCTAGAATTGTGTATAGGATTAGGTATGGTTTAGGTCTGTTTGTGTTAAGGTATGGTTTGTGTATAGGTTTAGGTATGGTTTAGGTCTGTTTGTGTATAGGTTCTGGTTCTTGTTTAGGGTTTAGGTATGGTTCTAGTTCTGAATTTAGGGTTTAGGTATGGTTCTGGTTCTTGTTTAGGGTTTAGGTATGGTTCTGTTTAGGTATAGTTTGTGAAGAGGTTTAGGTCTGTTTGTATTCTTGTGTATAGATTGTAAGTTTGTTTAGGTATAGTTTGTATTCTTGTGTTGTATTCTTCTGTTTGTATTCTTGTGTATAGCTAACTGTTTTGTTTTGTTTATATGATTGTAGGTTTGGTAAGGATAAGGGTAAGCTGACCCGGAAGGTCACCAAGTGTTTTACTAACAAGTTTGATGGACCATACTACAATTGGAGCTGTGTGCCAACTGGAAGAAGAGAAAGATACTTTCTTGAATTCGCTGTAAGCTTTTATCCCTCTTCTACTACTGTATTTTCATATTGTATTTTGATAACTAACATCTGCTTCACTGTCCTCTTGTTTTGGTAGAAAACACACACCTGGCATCCCTCAGTGACATGTGTGGTTGAAGCCAAGTTCTATAAGATCATTGCACTGCGTATGAAAGACATGGTTAGTAAGGCAGGGTCAAAAAGCCCAAGAGTGAGGCCGTATTGGATTGAGAGAACTCTGTGGAGAGAGATGTGTAAGTATTGGGATACTGAAGAAGCCCAAGCCAAGAGTTCAACCACATCAGCAGCTAGGATGTCTAACCGTAATGGTCGTGGTCCTCACAAGCATGTTTCTGGTCCAAAGTCCTTTTTACAAGTGGAGCAAGAGATGGTAAGTTATGGTAAGTTACATGTCTGTTTTAAATACTTGTTTTGTTTATTACTTGCTGACATCTCTGTTACTATATTTCAGGAAGTTGAATTGGGAAGACCTCCTACTATTGGAGAAGTGTTCATCAGAACTCATACCAAGAAGGATGGGACATTTGTGCATAGGAAGGCGCAGGAAATCCATCAGGCATATCTCAAGAACAAGGCAGCTAAGTTGGCTGCCCTGCAAGAGAATGATGAACAGTCTGATGGTAATTCGCGTCAGTCTGAGCTGTCTCATGAGGAGGATGATGAGATATTTCTTCAGGTAGTAGTCTTGTCTTTTGCTCTGTAGTCTACGTTTATCTGTTAAGCACTAATGTTTTTACTTTGTTTTGCAGTCTACTGTCACAAATAATAGAGGGGATTACTTTGGAATTGGCAGCTTAGGGGTTTACATCAACGGGAAGCGCAAGTACGCAGGAAGCAGCTCTTCTTTCACAACCCTGCAGTCACAGCTTGAAGATGCTAACCGCAAGATAGAGGAACAAGCAGCTCTACAAGCAGCACGTGAAGCAGAGGCATTGCGGGTCGCAGCATCACAAGCAGCTGAGATCAAGCATTTGTCGATGGTGAAGAAGTACCTGAGTGAAACTGACCCTAATTTCCTGGCCTTCCTCAATTCCCAATCAACTCCTGCTGCGGATGATCATTCAGAGGTCCAACCAAATCCAACTCCTGCTGCTAATGCTGATGGTACTACTCCTGCTACTTAGCTTTCTCTCCTTTTAACTCAAAAACTTGAACTTGATCTTTTGGTCTTGTACTTATGGTACAAGTATATTTGTATTTATGTCTTGTGAACTTGATATTTTGGACTTGTACTTTTGGTCTTGTGAACTTGTATGTTTTTATGTTTATTAAGAACTTGTATGTTTTGTATGTTTGGTTTTAATTAGTAAATGCAAACGTAATTGGAATCAAAATAAGCAGGCAAAATCGATAAATAAACCTCCAATAAGTCGCAAAACGATAACAATTCAGTCACTAAAACATTCATAAAACAGTCGCCTTGTAGTGTCTTTTTGTCGATTCCGCAGTCACCTATTAGTCGCCAAACCAGTCGCCAAATAGTGACATATTAATTAGTAGCATAACAGTTGCCAATTAGCGACTCGTACGCGACGTACAGGCGACTTCAAATAGTTGTCGCAGAATAGTCGCTATTTAGCGACTATTAGGCTACAATTTATTTTAGCGACGCAGTGTTCGGCGACAACGTTTATTAGTCGCTAATTAGTGGTTATTATGTGTTTAGCGACTCTTTAGTTACGTTTCTTGTAGTCACTAAATCCATGTTTTCTTGTAGTGACATAATTCTAATTAAAGATATAATACTGTTGAATCCTTTTGGTTTTTCTACACAGAAGTCATGAATTTTATGCACTAATTGGAGAAAAAAACTGGATAGAAAACGAATATATGAAAGAAAACAAATTAAGATTGAACTAAGCAATTTCTATACCAATGGCCTAATAGATATGTCAAATACAGTATATCAAACAATCTGTAGCAACTAGCAAACTTGGATAGCTCTCCCTCTTCTACTTGGGCATCTCCAACACAAAATGATGATTTTTATCTTTTGGCATGGTTTTTGTTCCATCTAATACTCCTCTATACTCATTCTCTAATATGATTTGATTGATCTCCCTTTTGTCTACTACGTGTATGTACACTCAAAACTATTTTTCACTTTTGCTTTCATTTCTTTATTTTTGTAAATTCCAAATGATATCTCTGTAAATAGAAGCAAAAAAAGGATAAATACAAAAAGAACATAACAAATAAAAAAGACATTAAAAAAATTATAATCGATTTAACAAACACTTAAACCTGCCCTCAAAAAATCAAACAAACAGACAAATTAATTTTCATAAAATAAAATAATTAAAAGGCCTGTCTCTGAATTATTTGTTGTTATTTTAGTTAATTTTGTTGTAGAAGCTACCAAGAAAAATAGAGCTGCTTATATACCCCACAAGTATTTGGAATTTATAACGAAGAGACAAAATAATAACTATAAGGTTTTGATGTCACACATCTTATGAAAATTCGCATGTTCCATGTCCGATCCAACCAATGATAACTTTAAAATTTAATTGCTTTTGTAAAGTAAAAATCGGACTGGCAAAAATATGCCACATAATTTTCGCAATGATCAAATTTATAATCGTGGTTAAACATAAATTTCTCTGGTAAATTTATAAATAATGATGATGATTAATCCAAAAGTTGTTAAAGTAAAACATACTAATAATTACATTGAAATTAACGTTCAAGACTTCAAGTTGACTATTTCCTTATAAGAAAATTAATGACCGTTGCCTATTTTATTGTACCATTATCGAGACCAACGACCATGCACACATTTATGTAACTGACCAAATTACCCCTACTAGCGCGAATTACGAATATGATACTTTCACAGCAGTTGGAGGGCAAAACCGACATTACAATGCTGATTGGTCACTGTCCCTTCCACCCAAAACATGTATCTTTTTCAATAAAAAATCATAGTATTAAAAATTTAAAATACATAAATAAAGCTATTTTTCCACTATATGAAAAAAAATTGTGGTGCGTACCGTTTCAGTAGAGCGTAACTTTATTATTTTAATCAATTATATAAAAGATCTTGTTTCCAAATCTGTCGGTACAATTTTGTTATACATATTTCCTTTTATAGCTAAAATTTCATTAGTTTTGTGTGTTTTATTGCAAAAACAAAAACTAAGTTCAACGAATAGAAAAATATGATCTTGTAAAATGAAAATGGCTGAATTTAGAACACAATAAAATGGTCACATACTTGAAAACATGTTAAAATTTAAATAAGCAATATTCTACAAAATAAATACTAGTTTTGACTTTTTGACTCTTTTACATTAAAAACCTAAAACCTATGCTATTGCTTGCACTAGAAAAAACAGATTCGGGTACCACCAACTAGGAGTCTATGTTTCAATAAATCACAAAATTAATAAATTGATAACCTAAATTATTTTGTTTTCCTTGAATTGATAAACCAATTTAGTGATGTTATTTGATCAACTAATTAATATTTCTTCGGTTTGGTGATACAACATTACTATATATATACTTATGATTTTCGTTTAATTATTAATGTCATAAAGAAGTATTAACAAAAAAAAAAAAACGTATCGTCTCTCGCTCTCTCTTTAGATCTACTTTTCGTTTTTTGTCCCATTTATAAAAAAAATCAACTGGTGGGAGCTAACGCTCGCGTCTTCTTCCTCTTGACGTAATCGGGAATTGAACTCGTTCCGATTCACTGAGCCGACTCGGAGTAGTAGTAGTAGTAGTAGTAGTTTGCTACTGGTGATGTGTTGTTCTAGCTGTTTGTGATGATCAATTGCTCTACATTGGACTGAAGAAGAAGGTAGTTTTGATAAATGACTGGTTCTCAGCGACAATGCCCGGAGCTCCGGTGAGTAATTCTGTTTCTACCGCGATCAAGCACACTCGACGGTGAAGATGTTTAAGTCATCGAGATGGCGGAGCGAGAAGAGCAACAAAATCAAAATCGTTTTCAAGTTGCAGTTTCATGCGACTCAGGTAATTTCACTCTCGGAGATTTTCCCGATTCCCGGCGAATTATTTTCTGGCGATTTTCTCTGGAAAAATGTTGCTTAGATTTTGAATTTTCCAGAAATTGGGGAAAATATTACTCAAATCTGACATCTGATATGACCAGTATAAACAGTAACTTTCATTTTCGATTTTGATTTTAGTTTACAAAATTCGGATTTAAGAATTTTTAGATCTTGAATATGTGAGATCAAGTTCATCATTATGTGATTGATTTTTTTTTTTTTTTTGTTTGTCAGGTGACACAGTTGAAGGCGGAGGGATTAACGATCTCTGTAGTTCCCGGAGATGTTGGGAAATCGACGGGGAAGGCAGAGAAGGCTATGGTGCTCGACGGACATTGTCGGTGGGAATCTCCGGTGTACGAGACGGTGAAGTTTCTTCAAGATGTGAAAACAGGGAAAGTTAATCAGAGAATTTATCATCTGATTATGTCAACTACGGTGAGGAAAATCAAACTTTTGAAGAGTTTTGAAGAGAATTTTGAGATTACTTTTCAGATGTTCTTAGTTTTGTTTTACAGGGATCTGCAAAATCTGGTGTTCTGGGAGAGGCTTCGATTGATTTTGCTGATTATGTTGATGCAATTAAGACTTGCAATGTTTCTCTTCCTCTCCAGAATTCAAATTCAAAAGCAATGTTGCACGTTAGCTCTCTCTCTCTCTTTCTCTTTCTTTGCATTAATGTTTGTCATGAGACATTACAGTGTTTGCATCCAAAGCAAAGCTCACATGATTCTTGCTTCTTGGTCTTTTTGAACTGTGATACTGAGATTTGAACTGTGGTTTTATCATTATCAGGTATCAATACAAAGGCAGTTAGAAAATGCAGATCCACTAAGGTATAGGAAACTGGACTCTTCTTTTATGAGTTTTCTTATTGTCAAGCTCTTGTACGTCTTTATTCTTTTAGTGTTCTTATTGGGAGTCTCTGTTTTGTCTGTGTGCTCTACAGAGTGGTGAAAGAAAGTGATAGCTTGGTGAAAAGGTCACGGGGTCAAGATTTGAAATCCCATTTGAGTATTGAAGCTGATGAAAGCCATAAAAGTGATTCACAAGAGGTACCACTTATGTTCTATAATTGCTTTTCTTCCAGATTCTTGATTTCTGAAGCCATTGGTGTGTTTAGAAGTTAGAAAATTTATTTGTGTCTGTTCTTATAGGAAGGTCCATTTGGTAAAGTTTCCCGAATTGCTGAATTGAGGCGTCGAGCATCGATTGAATCTGATAGTACATTGTCAAGTTTTGACAGTGTTTCTGAATTGGATACACTGGGAGAAGTTGGAAGCAGAGGAGATCACATTCAGCAAAACCACTCAACTATGCATCACCATTCGGTTACAAATGTATATGAAGAGCCTCATATATCAGAATCCGAGTGGTCAGGAAGTTCTGATCAAGGAATCAGCACTGATGACTCCATGAATAGTTCAAATGATACCATCCCGAGAGACACAACGAAGACTTCCTCGGGTGACGAGGTAGATACGCTTAAAGCCGAGCTCGTTGCTTTGGCAAGGCGAACAGATCTTTCAGAACTAGAGCTACAAAGCCTGCGGAAACAAATTGTTAAAGAGACCAAAAGAAGTCAGGATCTCCTGAGGGAAGTAACTAGCCTGAAGCAGGAGAGGGATTTGCTGAAAGCAGATAATGAGAGTCTTAAAGCATCTGACAAGCGAAAGGAAGAGGCAAAAATTAGGAACAAGTTGCAGCTTGAAGGAAGAGATCCACACGTTCTTTTAGAAGAAACCCGAGAAGAACTGGATTATGAGAAGAATCTGAACTCTAATCTACGGATACAGCTTCAAAAGACACAAGAATCAAACACTGAGTTGATCCTTGCTGTGCAAGATCTAGAAGCAATGGTGGGGCAAAGAAGTAAGAAAACAGTTGATCTTCCTAGACCAAGAACTTGCGAGAGGAACATCGAAGAATCAAGGAGAATGTCTTGCCCAAGTGAGACAGATGATGATGAGGATCAAAAGGCACTAGATGAGCTTGTGAAGGGACACATGGATGCAAAAGAAGCACATGTCCTGGAGCGAAGGATCACTGACCTCTACAATGAGATAGAGATCTATAAACGTGACAAAGAGGATCTTGAGATACAGGTGGAGCAGCTTTCTCTGGATTATGAGATACTTAAGCAGGAAAATCACGATATCTCATATAAGCTAGAGCAAAGCCAAGTCCAAGAACAGTTGAAGATGCAATATGAATGTTCATCTTCTCTTGTAAACGTGAATGAGCTTGAAAATCATGTAGAGAACCTAGAAGCTAAGCTCAAAAAGCAGTACGAGGAGTTCTCTAAGTCTCTGTACCGCATTAAAGAACTTGAAACACAGATCGAGGAACTGGAAGAAGAATTAGATAAACAAGCTCAGATCTTTGAGGGATATATTGAAGCTGTCACACGTGCTAAAGTGGAGCAAGAGCAGAGAGCTATCGAAGCCGAAGAAGCCCTGAGGAAGACGAGGTGGAAAAATGCGAGTGTAGCCAGCAAAATACAGGACGAGTTCAAGAGAATCTCTGAGCAGATGTCTTCTACATTAGCAGCAAATGAGAAGGTCACTATGAAAGCAATTACCGAAACCCGCGAACTGCGCATGCAGAAGCGTCAGCTAGAAGAACTTCTCATGAACGCTAACGATGAACTCCGAGCAAATAGGGTAGAGTACGAAGCAAAGCTCAACGAGCTCTCGGCAAAGACAGATCTTAAAACGAAAGAGATGGAGAGAATGTTAGCGGATCTAGAGAATCAAAAG